TTGGGTGGTGTGTGTGTCTGTGTCTGTGTGTGTGTGTGTTGTGTATGTGTGTGTGTGTGTGTGTGTGTGTGTGTGTGTGTGTGTTGTGTGTGTGTGTGTGTCTGTCTGTCTGCTCTCTTGCTGCAGGTAAAACTGAATGCTCCTCTGTGTGTTTTCAGTCTCATAAAACTGATCCACAGCAAAAGGTGATGTCATCGCTAGGAGGGGAGTTGAAAGGGTTGCCATGGTGACGGGCCAAGGCAACCGTATTTCGACCCTGACTGGGTGTGGTGTGTGTGTTCGTCGGTATGTGTGTGTGTGTGTGTGTGTGTGAACACTTGTTTAGGTTCATTATGTCCCTGTTTAACACATTTGATTACTGTTAACAGAATCTCTGAACACTGTTAGATTATGTGTTTGTGAGTGTGCGTGTGATTGCGAGTGTGTATGTGCACTCTGCGGCATCCAATTACCTGTACACACAGCTCCGAGCTGATGTACACTGAGCCGTCTCATTATGAACAGTAAAAACAGAACCAGGGGCCATTATGGGATGCTGCTACAGCTCAGAGTCTGCTGTGTGCTGTTCCCAGGATAATTGGAGTCTAGAGGTATGCATGGTGTATTTCCAAAGGGTTATATAAGATCTGTGTGTGTGTGTGTGTGTGTGTGTGTGTGTGTGTGTGTGTGTTGATTTGTGAACATTAAAAAGGTAATTTATCAGTTCATCTCTCAAACTATGTGCCAATGTGTGCTGGAAGACAGACTGTGTGCATTTTTGAGAGTTCTCAAGCAGAAAAACACCAAGTCACTAAGAAAAGCAGATTATTGAGAGAATTGATCAGAACAGCATTGCTCCATCTTCAATTTGAGTCAAAGTTACATCATTGCTTACCTTGATAACCAAGCAAAATGTATTTTCAATGTGGAAAGATTGTGCGTCATTTGTTTTTTAAGATGTATTAATCATCATATTTGATCAAACTTTTGCATTTTGTTCAACGCAGGTTAAAGAGTTTGTGTGGAGGGTAAAAGATTGTCCAAAATACAATCTGGGTACCAATCAGCTATCATCTAATGAGGATTTAGCTTTTGATTAGCTTGTGTTAGATGTTGTCTCATAATCCTCACTCCAGTCTTACATCTCAAATTGTTTATTGGACTATAAACAAGTAACAATGCAAGGAAAATGAATCGTGGCCTGATTATCCTCTGGCTACACCTGAACATCTTAAATATGCCCCCAAAAGTGCTCACTCGATGATGCATAATCTATTATTAAAAGCCAATGTTGGAGGGAAACAATAACACTTTGTGCATTCCTGCAGTTGGTGCATTTTGGTAAATAAAAGCCTGTAGGTTGTATGCCTTTTTTTGTTCAAATGTCCCTCCTTCATTGTGATACAGGTTCAAAATGGTTGGGTTTTGTCTGGTCAAATCTTTCCCAAAGTGTAACTATTCCAAGGACTCTGTCTTTGCGGGTGTGGAAGAGGTGGAGATGCTAAAATGAGATGTCTCCTTGCAAAACACATTATCGAATGTCGGTGAAATTCAATATTGAATCAAAATCCCTGATGAAATCCAACTCCGGATGGTTGGAGTTGGTATAGCTAGAGTAATGTGCATGTTATTGAGTTTTCAGTCAGAGAAATATAACAGATATGTTGACCGCAGACTTCTCTCTGCTGCACGCGTTACAGAGAGAAGTCTGCTTTTAGTAGTTTGGGGGTTTTGTGATGCTCCTTATGAATCCACCCATATGCCAGCTTTTGTCTCACTGTCAGATTCTTCAACAAAAAAAGTCTCAGTTGCAGTTCATTAGATTGTCTAATCTAGCCTAAATAAATACTGATGTTGAATTGATGTTAAACTGAGGATTTAGTTTGTTTTTACTGTTTGCTAGCCTACCTTCGCTGTTAGGTAAAAGTGATGAATAAACTGTCAAAATAGTTCACTCAAAGTAGCCTGATAAATAAATGGTTGAAACAGTAAATATTAGCTCAAATGAATGCTTTAAACTTCAATAACAGTGAGCCAAAAGTAATGGTAAGCTCAAATGAATCAATAAACCCTTACAACAGTCAGCTGAATAATGGATACAAGGTTGGAACAGTTCAATAATAAATGGATAAATATTATTGAAATAGTTGACTTTAAGTCATGGACTTGAATGATTTAGCAAAATAGAAATATAACGCTAGGAGACGACTATATAGAATTGCTGAAATAGTTAGCTTCTGCCACTCAGGAGGTAGCTTAATTGTATCCATAAGGAGTAATTGTGTGAAACGTGTATTTACAATATACTTTTATACACATGGTATACAAGGTAGGGAACCACTGCTGAACAACCTGCAATAACTGCAAAGTTTAACAATATCCGTTTAACTGACTTCTTTCTTATTCCTTAAAGGTATATTGGCTGACAAGAAGGATCTGTATATCGAGGAGGAAGAGGATGACAGGAACCTCGGGTACACCGCTCCGGTCCAGAAGAGTTTGGAGGAGATTCAAGCGCTGGATAAGGACGACGAGAGTCTGGTGAAATACAAGCAGACCCTCCTGGGGAAGGCAACACTTTTGGCAGGTGTGTGTGTGTGTGTGTGTGTGTACCCTGGGAGACAGAAAAGCTGATAGTAGAAGAAAACATACTTTATTAATTCTCTAGGGGAAATTCAATATTCACTCTGTTGTTATTCAGTTACAGTTCAAATACACACATGCACAAACACATGCATTAATTGGCTTTTTTTGTTCTTAACCAGCTTTTAAATAATGCACTCAATATAATGCACTCAATATAATGACTCATGCATAGTTCCTGGTAGTCACACACACTGTACGAACTTGCTTGCCTCAGCATTTTCAATCCAGCAGTCGGACATCATTACGGCTGATCTTCATCCTAGTAATATAAACATCAATGGGACAGGATGTAGTGAGAGAGGGCTTAAGAAAAGAGATGCCCTTTATCTTTTCAAGTGTCTATGCTAAATCCTAAAGCCCACTATAGCTCATTTTGATGGTAACTTTCTTCTACAATTACTGTTTTTCACTTCTTTTTTATTTTTTTAAATATTTGTATTGAAGACACATAGAAAAGACATTTGGTACATTGATAAGAGCCACAGTTACAAATGTTCAACAGTTCAAAGCCACTCGTGTTCAGCTTAGTCTCTACTATTGTACATCAAAAGACAAGCCATACATAGTTGATCTCCACTTGAAGGCGTACAATATTTAAACGACAATTATAACCAAAATGTAGCCAACACTATAAGAGTGTTGTACAGACTAACAGGACAAAACACAAATAAATAAATAATAAATAATAATAATACAATACAACTGTTTTTCACGTCTAACAAGTGAATGAAAAAAGGCTGCGTTATAACCAGACTATTTTTCCTCACCAGACGCCAGTGTGCAGAACGTCCAGGTGACCAGACTGACCCTGCTGTGTGACGAAGCTCCTCGACCGCTGACCATGGACCTGACAGGTACACTTCATCACTTCTGTTTAATCTCCCTAAACAGGTTTTCTCACACCTTTATATGGTGACACAATATGCCCTGGAGCGAGACGTCTCACCCTCATGCTGCCTTTCCTGAGCAGAAAGACTGCAGTGGGTGTGTCCACGCTGTAGAGGAGAGACAGCTAAATGTTTGCTTAGTGGGCAGTATCGACATCTTCCCCTGGGTGCAGGCGACAGCGACATTCATGGAAGGGGAGAGTGTGTGTATGTGTGTTCCCCCATTTAACTGCATGCATCATTTGCTCAGGTTTCTTCCTGTGCATCACATGCATTGTCACTCCAAAAATGCTAATGCTAACAAGAGAGTTCACCTGGTTGCTAGGCAATACTGACTTTGCCCTGAGCATCATCCTCTGGTTCAGTTCAAACACAGAAAGAGAATCTAGCAGCCTTTTATATGCACGTCTAAACTGTGTAATGGAGGATCTGCTGAATCGCAGTAAAGGAAAGAGCAGGCTGTTCCTCCGAAGCAGACGATGTAATGCTTTCAGATCTGATCTCAATCTTCGAATTACAAAGCAGGGATGTGGAGTTTAAACGGGCACTCCACATATTACACATGTGAAGTTTAGTTTACTCTTCACAAGGAGCGCTAATCCGCCTGTAAAACCTGTTATACTCTAGTTTGTTCTATGGGGATCTTGTGGAGCTTTGTTTAAAAATATGATCCTGGTAATATTATCAGCGAAAAAGGCTTTGGCTTGCAACTTAAACCTTTGAATGGAGAGCAGACATTGCATACAGCAGGTAGGGATGTTACCAGCCAGGGAGGCGCTATCCAGTTGCATTATGGGACATTTACGATGCTTTTTTTTTTTTTAGACCTTGACCAAACAAGGGACTAATAGTCTTCAAAATAGGTTCAAATCTGTGTCTCATGAGAGCAAACTTCTGTCTCTTACGAGTGCAACAACTTTAAAGAAGTGCAATACCTAATCATTACAGTAACCCTTTACAGATCACAGGTATTATCCAAGCTTTAAATCACATGGATTCACCAAATAATTAGGAATCTCCGTTCTGAGATTGTAATATTTGTGGTCTTCCCTTACGGAATAAATTATTTCACTGAACTTTATTTCGGCTTCATTCGTTTATGGTGATTCTGCAGATGCACTGTAGCAAAGTTAATCTTGTGTCACCAACATTTGCAGCATGAGATAATTTATTCTTTCTTCATGTGAGGCTGACAATTAAGCGGCCCGACGTGTAGTCAGAAGGAAGCTTCCCTTTCTTTCTCTTCGGGATCTGATTCTTCCTCTCCATGCGCTCCTGCTGGTTGTGCTCTCTGATGCGCTCTCTCTCCTGACAGACCTTCTCGGCTATCTTTGCCATCCGCATCTTGCGCCTCAGTCTTTTTCGCTTCCTCCCGCGCCCCGCTGCTCCATCACCGGCCACCCGTTTGCTCAACTCCACTTCATCGAGACACTCGATGTCCTCATTCACTTTCTCCGACATCCTGTCCAGAAAGTCCCGCCCTTGGAATGTCCAAAATACAACCCGGTGTGGGCCTTTATTACAGCATGAACACAATGACACACACAGCCTTAATCCTGCTGTTGTTTCCTTGAGCACAGCCTGCAGCCACAAGGATCTCACACACACTACCTGCCTCTCTAACAGCAAAACCCTAGAGCCTAAATGCCCAACCCAATCAACCCAACAGGACACAGGTGAGGGGGGAGGAGACAGCACAGGGCACCAGGTGCACACAATCAACGACAGACATGGGGAAAGGGAACACTTTTCAACGACAAAAAACTAAACAACCCGTAACGGAGGCCGAGATCTATGAGCCCAGAGATCACCTCCGTGACACTTCATTTTGAAATGTTTTTATGATCTTTGACATTTGGACACTTTTTAGATTTTATTGCAGCCTTAATTTTTATACTTTCCCTGTGAGGCTCTCAAATGATGATTAGGTTTAATGTGGATGAATGTGAGTGTTCATGTTGTTTTCTTCTAAAGAGAAAAAGAGAAATAGCTGAAAGCCGTAAGCGAGAAAACCATCTTTCATCATTAATCTATAAAGTAAGCAGCGGGTGATAATGGCTCCTGCTGGAGTATCGTGTTGCAGTCAGATAGCCGAGACGGCACCAGGCGGGATGTGAAATGGACTTTCCGTCGCCGGCTGAATGCATTTCAGACCTCCTTATAAACGTGTGTGTGTGTGTGTGTGTGTGTGTGTGTGTGTGTGTGTGTGTGTGTGTGTGTGTGTGTGTGTGTGTGTGTGTGTGTGTGTGTGTGTGTGTGTGTGTGTGTGTGTGTGTGTGTGTGTGTGTGTGTGTGTGTGTGTGTGTGTGTGTGTGTGTGTGTGTGTGTGTGTGTGTGTGTGTGTGTGTGTGTGTGTGTGTGTGTGTGTGTGTGTGTGTGTGTGTGTGTGTGTGTGTGTGTGTGTGTGTGTGTGGAGAACAGGTAGACAGCTCTCCACACTGACCTATTTTCTCAGTCAGACGCTCCCAAGGGAGGCCAGCATCCTTTTTCTTTTCTCTGTCTCCTGAGACCGGAGGAAGGAGGAGATTTACATAGGAGGCAGACGGAAGGAAATGAGGCAGAGATGGAGCAGTGAAAAATCTCCGAAATGTCAACCACTGATCAACAGCTTTATTAAGCTTGATGGCATTTAGTTTAGATTTAATCTAATGGGACGTTTAAAGTGTTTAATGTGGTGATATGAAGATCTTACACAGCACTGGTGATTTGTAGATCTCATTAAGTAAAATCATAACTGTCAATGTAAGCTGCATGACATGTACACAAAGTAATTCAAGGATTCGAGGATTTAAATACATCAAAGGCTTTATTGTTAAATGCAAAAGCTACAGTTTAGTTTTACAATGAAAATCTTAAGGCTCCTCCAACAACGTGAACATACATAAGACATACACACTAAACAATAGTGCAAGAAGAAACTAAAAAATGCAAGATAATCTAGCAAGTGACACATTTTTAACTACATTTAAATAAATTAACGAAAATATAATAATATAATTATAATAATTCACATTTTCTCTAATATTACCAGCTGTGATTTACACAATAATAAATCACTAATCCAGTCATTTAATATATGATTCTGGAAATGGGCCAATATGTGTGTCTGGGGGGAACTGGGACGTTAGCCAAACCTATAACATGGGGTGTCTGTGGCTCAGTGGGGTAGTGTGCTGAACTTAGTGAGCTGAACTTTGAATCAGAGGATAGCAAGTTCGAGTCCCACTGCAGCCAGCATGTCGTTGTGTCCCTGGGCAAGACACTTCACCCCCAAATTGCTCCTGTGGGGATTGTCCACAGTATTGAGTATGTAAGTCGCTTTGGATAAAAGCGACATGTAACATAATAAGGCCCCATTAAGTATTATATCTTCTTCCACCATAGCATAAGAGCAATATGTCAAATCTTAGAGGCTCTTTACTTTAAGTGCCTCGATGTGTCACCAGAACATATATATGTAATATGTGTGACACCAGTGGGATTCCTCTGACCTTGTTCCGTGCACTTATTTTGCAGTGATGTCCTAAATGTTCTGCTTGTGTGTTATCTGTAGGTCACTTCAGGGGCGGATCTAGAAAAATATTCATGGCAAGAGGGTGGCAGGAGAATTTCAGGGGTGGCGTCCCCTGGCAGAAGTATATGCTGATTTAATCACAGTCATATCAATCAGTGTTAACTTGGAAAGCCACAATATTAATATTTTAACTCAATAACATTAGGTGACATTATTGTGGCACATCAGTAAAGCCTTACATATAAATATAAGGTGGCAGACATCATTTAATGAATTTTAACTGAACAATACCAGGGGTACCAAATCTATGCAGACAATAAGTACATTAATTAACTGTCTCATCGATGTTTGTCTGAATGAATATGATACTATTAACAATCATATTATTCCTATCAGCTGTCAATCACTGTTATGATTCACATATTCAGTGTTATTATTAAATAAACTATATTTGTTGGAGGAGATAATGATGAATGTTCCTCAAAATGCTTGCTCACCCTCCTTCAAATTTGAAAGACAAGTAATTACTATCATATATCAAAGGAACAGTTCAGCGCCCCACAACTTTACTGCAAACAGTTACAACCTTGACTTTACATCAGAAAGAACAAACATTAAAGAAGTGACTAACTGCATCAATTAGGGTTAAAAAATGTGTATTCAGCTAAAACATAAACATCGCTGCAGTTATTATCCAGTGGAAGGTCCTTACCTACTGGCCTAGCTAAATGAAAGTGGTTACTTTCTGTTGGCTGGGCAGTGAAGTTTTACACACCGTCTTATTTGACTTTCTCAGGACTTTAAACAGTTTTTTGGGGGCAGACCCCCACAAAGAAGAAAAATATTATACACACGTAAGGTCATCATCTTAACAGTTTGTTATTCTCATCGACTCATCCGTGAGCAGAGCATCAAGTTGACTATTACAGCTGAATGTGGCGATTACCATCTTGTTCAGCAAAACGCCTCACAAACTTATTAAGATTTAAAGCTATGGTGCGTTTTGATTCAATGCTGAGTACAGCCAAACTTGACAGTCTCTTCTCTGTCATTGTAGACCGCAAACAGTGGCGGCGCCAGAGTATTTGTGTTGGGTAATCTATGGTAGGGCTAACCCATAGTGGTGGGGCTCAAGTCAGTGTTTGCAATGTAATTACATACACGCTCCCCTTGACAGTGAAACGCCACGCGTGAGGTTTAGATTATTTCCCTGTCTCAATCCAAATTGAACTGTATGAAATAAAAAGGCACATTTGTCTTGTCGTAAATAAAAAGGGCGACCTGGAGCCAATCCTGCTATTTCCCCACAGGTGAAAGAGTTGACATGCTGAAAACCCAACCCCTGCAGGGGGGTCTGGGGGGATTCTCCCCCAGGAGATTTTTTGAAATACTAACGTAAAATACACATTCTGGTACTCTCTTGAGAAGAAAAATAAATACATCTATTATTACACGGCATATTTAAAAAATGAATGGTATTTAATTTGTTGTTACTTTGTTCTGAAAGCTGAACCTGCTGCTCCTCAGAGAGAAGAGGCTGTGTGAATGACTTTACATTGTGGATAAGGGTGGATAGCCCCCATTGTTCTGTGTGTCAAAATGAAATACAGCCCACACACCACATCAAACCGTGGGGTCTTATTTCATTACGTGTTGATTTCTATCAACACGTAATGTTGTATCGATGTATCGGGATTCCTGCAACAACACCACGCCGTTATCGTGATTCTGATTGGCCAGAAGACATTATCAAAGATGTTCTATTGAGAAGACGATCACTACGTGACAAAAGTTTTCAAAACCGTTTCTAGTCTTCGGTATTTCCAGACAAGTGGCTGCTGAAATCAATCTTACTAATATAACTGCTGTCTGTGCAATTTACTCCGCGCGAGTTGGCGGACTTTATTTTGCTTACCTTAACATCCTTTTTCATGGTGGGGCTAAGCCATTTCTTGGTATGGCTGTAGCCTACCCCAGCCATACCCTGGTGCCGCCACTGACCGCAAATACCTCATTCCTTCCATCTACTAACTTGGATCCGAAATGCTTCTCGTTTTGCCCCGTTCAAATGAAATCGCCGCCAATCATATTTCCACGCTCGTTCCAGGGCCGGGGGAGGGGTTACAAGGCTCGCGTCTTGTGCTGCATTCACTTGCACTCGGACATTAGAGATTTTCTCTCATAAATGTCCGATGAGCCACAACTTTTTTTTCAAAACAAAGCTGCCAACTGGGGTGGCAGCTGGGGTGGCAAGGCATTGTTCTGAGGTGGCAGCTGCCACCCCGTGTCACCCTGTAGAACCGCCACTGGGTCACTTCCTTATTTGCCCGACTGTCTTCCGTTTCTTTTTGTGATTTTATTCACCCCGTTGCCCCATATCTCCTTCCTCTCATCTCCTTCCTCTTTACTCTGCACCCATTAGGAGGCACTCAGGCCTGATGGTGGGGTTTCAATTGAGATATAAAGTGATTAGGCAGTGGATGCATTTCCTATTGCTATGTGCTTTTACAATAGCCATGGACGCACCCCACATTTAACATGAACCCTTTCAACCCAACAGCCTGACAAAGACCATTTTGACTGTTGCAAAGAATCCATTATTGCTTTAATAGTCACTATAAACTGCTCCTTACCCACTGGACAAAGAAACCCACTGACATCTTGCTTTTGTCTTCAATGGGAAAGGTTTAATTGATATTCATTCCCCGGGACAATGACTACGAATTACTCACTATAAGCTATATCACCATGGATACATGAACCCCAGGGTGTTCAAATGTGACGGAAGAAGTCATTTTACCACACATTTTAAAACACAAACTAACAACTTCAAGCAATATATGAGTGTTGAAGTGACAATAAGTATATATGCTTATCACTGTTAAGCACAAACCTGACGGATACAAAATAAAAAAGATAATTATAGTATAGTGTTACAAGTATTATGTTACATCCACTGGTTTCTTTCTACTGTTCATTAAGCCTTTCATCCGGCATGACGACCAAGAGAATAAAATAAAAAAGCAAACCAATCTTCCGGTATTGCCTTTTTTTAAGTGGGTTATCCTGTGTGTGTTTTTAAAATGTATATACCTGCTAATTTTGGTAGAAAAAAAGGATTAAAGACCCAATAATACACGTTGTACTGGGTATGAATGCAGAAGGCAGTGTTTTTATCATATTTTTAACTGTGTCTGTTTATCTTAACTGTGATTGTTTTTTTTCTTGAAGATTGAGACCAATTTTTATAATCCCTATTATCAATCAATGTTTTTTTTATATAGCCCAATATCACAACTGTTACATTTGTCTCAGTGGACTTCACAGTTTGTACTATTAAGCACTCTGGTGTAAATGTATGATTGCACACATATATAATACACTCACAACAAGTAGGACCAATACATGCACTAGGGCAGGGGTGTCAAACTCAAGGCCCGGGGGACAAATCCGGCACGCGACTTCATTTCCTGTGGCCCTGCAAGAGCTCTGAAATAATATAATATGTTTATTATACGATTACATGGCGATGTACAGAGGCACGTTGCCCATAAACTACATGTCCCACAATGCATCTCTCATTTGACTTTTTTCTCAGAATTTGACTTTTTTTTGAAAATGTTATATATATTCAATATTTATACTTATTTATGTATTTTTATATAATCTTAAAGTTACAACCGGCCCTTTGAGTGCAACCATAATGCTAATGTGGCCCAAGATGAAATTGAGTTTGACACCCCTGCACTAGGGAGTAGTTGGTAGTTTAAATGACCCACATAGCTAATAATCTACAAGGAGTGGGGTTCGAACCCACGAGGACTGATGTCCATTGGATCTTAAGTCCAATGCCTTAACCACTCGGCCATCCTGGTACTATTGTGTCATTTTCTATTCCTAATTTCTCACAAAATCATCTTTTTGTAGATGTATCTTGTCTTTGTTTGGCCAATAACATTCAATTTGTCTCTGTTTGTGTATCCATTGAAACATCTTAATTGAAGCACAACATGCCATATGCAGTCTACCAGAGACAACAACAACAACGACTAACTGATAACACACATCTTGGGGTGTGAAGATGAGTCATTTCTCCAGATGGTTATTCTAATGTACAGCAGCAGTGAGATAATGCAGTGAGTCATGATGAGATACTGTTTCGGGTGATGACTCCTATGTGCCACTTTGACCATGACTGATGTTTTTGTTGTTGTTGTTTGTGCAGAGGTGAGCGATCAGAAGGACAAGAAGACCATCTCCATAAAGGAAGGAGTGACGTTCAGACTAAAAATAGACTTCAAGGTAAGATGGATAGATAGATGCAGTCACATTAATGATGGAGAGCTTTACTGGACATTACGTATGTATTGAATGGACAAACAGATGATCAGGTATTTCCTGTAAGTGATAAAGATAGATAAGAGAGAGGCGGTGCTGAGTAAGCCACCATGTACTATATGATCAAACCACAATATAGACCATTATCATATTTAATCAATATGTTCAGTGCTGTTTTAGTGCCAGTAAGTATAATTGCTAAAGAACTTTTCTTTTAGCGTCTGCAAGTTAGTTTCTCTGACAATTGATAATGTTTTAAAAAGTCAATACTTAGACGTACATATCTTTGATTGTATTAGCAATGCTACCTGGATGCTAGCTGCAGACTGAAGTATCTCAACAATTGCAAGATGCATTAAGATTAGATTTTGTATAAACATTCACAAACATTCTAATGGATGGATTGCCAGGAAATCCTATAGATGTTAGTTTTGTTCCTCAGGATGAATCACTCCGATGTTCCCCAGACAGTTCCTTTAGGTCAAAACTGTAACTTTGTGCCAATAAACTCAACTTTTATGGAAGACAGAAGCTGCTAAAATTAAATGAATGACTCAATAAATACATGAATATTCAATTTAATGTGCTCATATAATGACATAATGTATGCCATGGAGTGGAAAGGTGGCATTAGATCTGTGTAAATGCTTCCTAAACAATAGACTAGTTAAAAAAAAGGATTTGATCAAAAATGAGAATAGACGAGAAGGTGTGCGCCATGAAAGGAAAAGGGGTCTGTGTGTGTGTGTGTGTGTGTGTGTGTGTGTGTGTGTGTGTGTGTGTGTGTGTGTGGTGTGTGTGTGTGTGTGTGTGTGTGTGTGTGTGTGTGTGTGTGTGTGTGTGTGTGTGTGTGTGTGTGTGTGTGTGTGTGTGTGTGTGGTGTGGCCTAGCATTACTATACTTGTGGGGACCTAAATCTGTTTACACAGTCATGTGTGGGGACTCGCCTCCCTTATGGGGACAAATTGGAGGTCCCCATGAGGGGAATCATTAATTTTAGGGTGAAGACTTGGTTAGGTTAACGGTAAGGGTTAGGGTTAGGCATGTGTTGGTTATGGTTAAGGTTAGGATAAGTCTCCAGGAAATGCATGTAAGTCAATGTAATGTCCCCTGAAGTGATGTATACATGGTATGTGTTGTGTGTGTGTGTGTGTGTGTGTGTGTGTGTGTGTGTGTGTGTGTGTGTGTGTGTGTGTGTGTGTGTGTGTGTGTGTGTGTGTGTGTGTGTGTGTGTGTGTGTGTGTGTGTGTGTGTGTGTGTGTGCAGGTGAACAGAGAAATCGTGTCTGGCCTGCGGTACCACCATAAGATGTTCAGAAAAGGAATAATAGGTACGTTTACATTTTGTACAGCTTTTTTTCGCATTAGTTAGTAGTATTCCCTAAGTGTTCATGTCGTGTCTTCCTGCAGTGGACAAACAGACATACATGGCAGGAAGTTTCGGCCCGAAGGAAGAGGAGCAAGAGTTTATAACCCCGGTTGATGAGGCAGCTAACGGAGTGATGAACCGCGGCCACTATCAGGTCAAGTCCTGCTTAAAAGACGACGACAAAAATGTCCACTTGAGCTGGGAGTGGAGCCTCGAAATCAACAAGGACTGGATCGAATAAGGCCAGAGGAATTAGCTGATGTTCCCTTCTTTCACTCCTATTCTCCACCTTCCTTTTATCTTTACCCTTTCACCCTCCTTCATCTGAATCTGTGAGAATAGCCTCGAGACATGAGGCTTCCTCCCCCTCTTCCTCTTTATTCTCCTTTTCTACCCTCTCTGTAAAATGCAGGTGTCCTTACAGGGACTTTTAGAGATAAATCCCCCCCAATCTCTAAACTCTCTCTCCCTGCATTTGTATTCTTTTTCCAGATTCTTCAACATCTAAACCCAATCCACAAAGGGAAATATGATGCATTGCATACTCGCATTCTGTCCCCAAAGAGAATAAATGATATACATAAACAGGGAGTAACCTTGGATGCTCTGCAGGAATTCTGGGTTTACTTGTCGCAAAATGTGTTTAAAAAGTTTACCAATAAAAAAAATAGTTATGTGGGGAGGGCTAATAGAGGAGCGACATGAGATACTGTGTGACATGCAGCTCACAGAGGCCTTAAAACCCTTAGGGAAAAATAATCACGGTACAAACAAGTACAAGAAACACCTGAGTGGACCATGTTTGTGCTTTTAGTGCCTCAATTTGTGTCAAAATCCGCACTCCTTCTATTAGTTATCAGTCAGTCACACATCTGGACATGTAGACATATTAAACATTTTGTTAGATTCTGTACAATCCTGCAGGAAACCACTATCACTCATGTCCAGTGCGAAAAGCCTCAAAGGTTCTTACAAGTCGTTGGAAAAGACTCCATAACTCATTTTATTCAGCATCAAAATACCTCAGTTAGACTTGTCTGTACATCCAACACTGCAAACAGGAACTGCTAAGAGCTAAGTATGCATTGTTTAAGATGCCAATTAAACAAAATGTACACAAACATAGACAAAACTGAATCCTGAAGTTGGATGTGATATCTTACTGAATCTATGGCAACATTATACTACTTCCTGTTTAAATTCCCCTAAAAATGACAGCTGTAGTTACGAGACTTGCAGTATAGCATGATGCTGTTGGAGATGGATTGATATTTTATTCGGGTTCTCATCTCTCTATTTCTTTAGATAAAGCATATGTTTGCAACGCCAAAGGGTATTGATTAATTTGTCCGTTGATTAAGAGGTTCAACCATATTTACTTTTAAATCATGATGTCGATAATTGTTTAGAATTTGTATTTTATGACTCTGCCTTTCATTTCCAATATGACAATAAAATACACACAATATTTTTTCTGTGATTACAAACTTGCCCAAAAACAAAAGAGTGATAGTATAAATAATTAATTCTACAGGAAGTATAAGAACGTAATTAAACTGTGTATATTGTAGAAAGAGACGCATGTTTGTCTTTTAGGATTTGATACTAATTATTCAGTAAACATTTACAATAATTCGCCCTTACTCGCTCATAAAACAAGGACATCAATGTGAATACAATTCTGCTTTGAAAAGATGTTAAGATAGCAGCTGAAAGATGGAGTACTGTCTGAGAAGTATACCAAGGGATGAAGTAATTCCCCTTTAAAAAAAAAAAGAAATATGATTATTGTGTTAAGTCTTTGGATATAATATTGTTAATGTTGCTGAACATATTGGACATTGAAATACCATTTGAAATTGTTGTGATCTAAGACTAACTGTAAATGTTGGCTTGTTGGGTGTTGCATGGTTTAGCAAGATTCTCTCTTCCTTTTTTTACGATTTTATTGTAAAATTTAATGTGATTTAAAAAAAAAAATACTGACGCAATATCAAGATTTCAATGGTTGCAATATATTGCAGAACGCAGTACTTACAGGGATATTTTTAAAGGCTCAGACAGCTGGAAACATTTGTCTGTGTTTAATACCCCAGCCTGTAGTGATCCAGTACTGTATCCTCAAATATTGGTGTCAAATCTAGTATCCTGTATCTTTTAATAAAGGCAATTCAAACAACAACAAGATGTCTCTATTGAAGTACTTGACCTCCTCCTATTCACTTTCCTTAGATTAGATCTCTGATACCGATCGATTGAGTATGATGCAAAGCCAGGAGGTCGTTAGCTTAGTTAGCATAAAGCTCTATTTAAATAGTCTCAATTAGTTTCAATAGCTCCCATATTATGTGACCCATTGACTCTAAATCAATGCAGCATTGTATTACAACACTGGACGAGTAAGACATAGCTCTTTTGACTCCAAATTAATACAGCATTAAAGTAGGACACATTCATTTGTATTGGATTTTAGTGAATTAGGTGAAGCGTTCCATGTGGAGGAGTTAATTCCACCTGAACCCAACATCTGCTTTGTTTTGTCATTTTCTCCAGCTGGACAGTAGCCTACTAAAGACGGGTATCATCAACACAAGCTCAGTGTCTATGATCTCTCTGCTCGCATGTTGTCCTTTAATTAGTTCTTTGTCTGTTTCTCAGTGTTTCCATCCGTCCTACTCCTCTGTGAGCCAGTCCTTATTGCCGGGTGTGGTCATTTCGGTGGTGTTGGTGGTGTTGTTGCTCCTGAGCGCCTGCTCCATCAGGGCTCGCTGGGCGGTGGCCGGCAGGTAGAGGAAGGCGTAGATTAGAGCCAACCCCAACAGAGCCAACACCAGAGGGAGGCCCCAGTCCGTGGTCATGATGGGCTCCTCGCAGCGAGCCTGCAGGAATGACTTGTTATGCATTGTGTGCAAACAGATCGTAACACTAAGGGTGCGGAAAATACCGAAGTAAATGCAAGGGTCAGAAGAGTTGCACCACAAAAACACTATATCCAGGCAGCCAGACTCACATCTGTGGAGAAATCACCCCATTACAGTTTAAACAGTACTGAGTTTAGGATTGTAGGGAAGTTTAGTCCCAAACTAAGCTTTCTAAATTCTTCAAAAGATCCAAAGACGGATCCAAGATGGAGTAAGTCACCTTGGAAAAAGTCAACTAAATCCAGAGAAATAAAACAAGCAGGAAAGTTTTCATTCACAGCCCAAAACAGAAGATTAAACAATGAAACGTGCCAATATTTCCATTAAAATGTTTGTGATATTATGGATAAAAGAGCAAAAGAATATCCGGTACACGATCAATGAAAAAAATGATATTTCCTCGTGGATGCCTTTAGTATCTGCCTCTCTTCTCTTCGCCTCCTCGGTCACGTTTGTGAGTTCCACCTAAGTTGGGTAGTGTGTGTGTGTGTGTGTGTGTGTGTGTGTGTGTGTGTGTGTGTGTGTGTGTGTGTGTGTGTGTGTGTGTGTGTGGGTGTGTGTGTGTGTGTGTGTGTGTGTGTGTGTGTGTGTGTGTTTTGAAATGTTACATATCCCAATGACAGAGACATGACCTCATGATTGAATCCTTTTCCTTTGTGACACTGTCTCATTTGAACACTTTTGAAATTCCAATTATATAATAATTCTTGATCTTCTAAGCTGAAAACATATTCATACCTGGCTGTGTTCTAGGGATTACTTATATGAAGAGTCCAGCCAGATGGTTCCAAATAAGGAGCATGCAAACATTTTTTTAGCTATGAGCCATAAGGAGGTTGTATTGTGATGGAGTTAGCACAGAGAAATGACTGGTGTTTGGAACATGCTGAAGTATGGATCCACAGCACAGAATTATTATGAAAGAAAGTTTTAAAAACATTAGTTTAATATCGATTTTAACATGCTGCCAACTTCTAGTTAATGGCAGTACAACACATCAAAAATGAACTCCAAAAGACTACCCAAAAACAGTTGTCTGACCTCTTTCTAACTTGTTTAATTGCATCACAGACAATCTCATACAAGAGACAGTTATCAAGAGATGTTAGCATCAAAAATAAGCACAGAGAAATCTATCAAGAAATGTCTTGCAAATTGTTTCTCAGAATAGGATCCTTGCACATCATTGCTGTTGAAAAATGTCATATGTTTCTTGTGCATGAATGGACTACAACTGCATGTCGTTGTGCAGCGTATGAAACCACAATGACAATAAATGATCTTTGAATCCTAGAACTGTAGTCGGGCAGGATTTCATCATCATTTGCTACTTGAACATAAGCAACCAGGGTGCTATAATATCTATACATCAGTGCAATCTAATACATGGACATATAATGACGTCACACCACATGGTCACAATGCTGGATGGAGTGCGTCATCTGTGTGTAGGTGAGGTGGAGGTGAGGGATTATGGACTTGACTAATAATGCCTCCTGCAACGGATGAAATTAAACGCAATAAATATTATCCTCTGTGTCAGGATGATTGACTCCTATTTCAAGTTCAACAGCATTACCATAATCCATGGTGTGGCCAAATAGATTTAAATACGATGTGATCAGGAAATGAGATAAAAATACAGTAAATTGCTTTAAAGTATGATAAACAGAGGGTACATCTGAACCTGTTGGGGTAAGATGTCTTCAAAGGGATAAGAAAGAAGCAAATCAATTATTCAGGTAAAGAAGTTACAGTGTATTGTTTTTATTGACTTTTTTAATACCTCTAAGAAGATGTATCCGATAAATTATTGATATTAACTGTGGAATACTGACTTTACAATACAATGATTTTGTGTTATAATTCCAAAATACGTTTAATCTCTCAATAATAATTAATTCATTTGTACTGTACATTGTGACTAATATTCCTAACTATACTACACTTGCTACGCATATTACCACACTTAAAAATAGCAATATTATTAGAAACACTGATTTTATATGTTGTATCATCTTACAGTTATTTTATTTTTCCAGGTTTATTGTTGTTATTCATCTAATGTAGCCTAGTTTACATTTGATCTCAATTGGTTCTGTAACTTTCTTATAATTTGTCAATGGTGATATGTCGATTCTATTCTAGAGAATGGTAGCAATAACACTAACAGTAAAGCAGTAAAGAGCACCTTCAAATATATAACATTAAGGGAAAATATGGTTTTACTCAGCTAAATTAAGAATATAACTCAAACAAATACTATCTTGAAACGAGCAGGACACAGAACCGCGAACAGTCCAGTTGATGGCGCTACACATTAGCTTTGCATCCACCATTGAAGAAGAAGAAGAAGAAGAAGTAGAGGCTGACCATCCTTCTCCACTGCACCACTCGTGGTTTTGTTTATAAGTATGCTCCCTCATAGATTAAATCTTATGTTGTAAAAACATACCAGATATTCATCTCTGTCTGTTCAACGAGGTAAGTTATCGAGACAGTCGCAGTATGCTAACAACTAGCTAATGTTGTTAGCATACAGTGCTAACATGCTAACCAGTGCATCATTTGCTGCTACCTGTCCACTATACTTAATTTATACACTTCACCTTGATATGGCAGAAGTCAGTTATTTATTGGACAGGAGAGGGCACAAGACAGGTTACTACCAGCTGCCTGTTAATGTATTTTGCAGCACTTTAGTTAAGATATTTACTTACAGTAAATGAATGTTATTGAGGCTGGTTTACAACTCTGTTGGTCAGAGTGTTTTGATGTTGAACCTCATCCACTGCCACTAAGTTACATTTGCTTAAATACAAGTTAAGGTACTTCTACTTTATTGGAATACTTCTATGCCTCTTTATACTTCTATTCTTCATGTTACAGGGAATACTGTAGGTTTTACTCAACAGCTAATTTTGAAACCTCGTTTTCTCTGCATAGCATTACTGACACATTATGACATGTGTTTCAGTGAATGAATTATTAAAGTTAATAGGAAATACAGCCTAATAATAGTAACTCTCTAATATATGAGTAGGAAAGGGGACATTCTCCATAACAAACACGTTTACTTGTGTAACCCTCATGCATTTTTTATTATACTTTCACTTTTAATAGTGAAATATTACTCAAACACAGTTTCTGAATGCCCACTTCAAATCTGACTGATGCAGTCATTATTGAAGTAAACAGTGACATATTTCATTATTTATCCTTTATTTAACCAGAAAGGTCCCATTTAGAAACACCTTTTTCTGCCAGGGACACAACAGCATACTCAAAATATAGAAACATCTGAGACTAAAAGAAGCAAGATAAGTTATGACACTTGTTTATAGCAACAACATTGTCTAACAACTGTGTTAAGCAATTGTTGAACATGTCTAGAGAGGTTAAGGTTTTTAAGTGTTAATCTTTTGGAGCAATTTATCATGAAACCCACCTCATCTCTGCAGGGCTGTCTGAGTGGTGTCAGTTAAACGCTGCACACGATGACCACAGAGCCTGCCAGCCTGGAGAGCCTGGGGGTGCTGTTCCAGAGCGATGACTTCATCGTGGTGGACAAGCACTGGGACATCCGCATCGACAGCAAGATGTGGTACGAGAAACACACCGTGCAGGCGCAGCTGCGGCACCGCTTCCCTCAGCTGGCAGACCCCAGCACCTACTATGGATTCAGGTGGGAATCACACTCTGACTAACAACATCATGTCACATACATCAAGTTCATAAAGTTATACTCGTGTTTTTCTCCACCCTACAGGTTCTGTCATCAGTTGGATTTCTCCACAAGTGGGGCTCTTTGTGTGGCGCTCAATAAAGCGGCTGCCGGCCGGGCTTACCGCTGCTTCAAGGACCGAACCGTCACCAAGGCCTACCTCGCCCTTGTAGGGAAACTCAGTTACACACATTTACAGAGATATAGGTATAGAAATGTCAGATTTTTTTGTGTGACTACATAGAACATATTTGGTTTCTTAGGTACGTGGATTGGTGGAAAAAGAGACACAAACTCTGGAATTCTCCATTGGCAAGAATTCTTCAGAGGGAAAAACCCACATGATGTGTATCGAGGGAACAGAAGGTTGGTGTGTTTCAGCTCCAATATAACACTTCTTCAAAGAGAGAATTTGATTGAAAGACTATTTATTTAGTTTTTGATTCCTTTTCATTCTCCTGTCAGGTTGTGAGAACCCGAAGCCTTGCCAAACTGAGCTGACGGTGTTGGAGTACGGGTTATATGATGGAGACCCCGTCACAAAGGTCCTGCTGCAGCCGCTCACTGGTAATACTCATTTGGTCTTTTCACATTAGGGACATTTTAATTTCTTCTCTACTATATGAACATTGCTGGAGAAAGTGTACATTGCCATACAATTTGTCAGGTTTCTTTCAGGTGTTGCATTGCAAATAAAGACATTAAGGACAACAGGCTGTATTTAAATCTAACAATTATATCATTTAATTAAATCTTGCCTGGCATTGTGATGACGTTTTGAGGTATTGGATGCAGCTCACCTCAGGTTAAACAGCTTCATCAAACATTAAAAGCCACATCAACCGAATTAAAAGTAGATTGACATTGATTTAAAAGACAAGTAAACCATATCAATCACTGATTAATCAAGCATACTTATGTAAATTATTGTTAAACAATTGCACTAATGTAGCATCTTTCTCTCTATTCTTATTAAAACTAAGTGAAGGATTACATAGATGTATTTTCTTGACATGTCTATTATATAAAAATGCTTTGGCCCCACTGTTAAATGTTTTTCTTTCTCTCCGACTCCACCACTTGTTTTTTCCCCAAGGCCGAACCCACCAGTTGAGGGTCCACTGCAGCGCTATAGGTCACCCTATTATCGGGGATTTCACCTACAGCTATGGAGCAGACGACGCCCCGTACCGCATGATGCTGCACGCCCACTTCCTGCACATTCCCCTAGAACCTGATCCCCTGCTCGTCTCGGGTGAAGACCCCTTTCTCCCCACACTGGATCCAAAATGGCTCCCGCAGCGCTCTTTACGGACACTGACGACCACTGTGGAGGCGCTGCTGGAGCGGAGATTACAGGAGGACAGGAAGATCAAAGAGGAGAAGAGAGAGAGGGCGAGAAAGGAGGAGGAGAGAAGAAAAGGACGCAAGGAACAAAGGACTAAGGAGGAGATTGAGGAGCAGACGAGGCAGTGTCAGGAGTGGCTGAGCGAATGGGCTGGAGACTGATGTGTTATTTATTATTTATTTGTATTGTTTACCAATGAAGGCCACGTTCAGCATGCAAGCTCCATCTCACTGCTTTCAGTGCTAAGGTTAGACTGAGCCGGGGCATCGTAGCTGAGAAAAAGTGCCTTCCTCAAGTTCCTGTTGCTAAGTGAGGGATGGGGTTGCTGCCATATCTTTTTCATATACAGGAAAAAGAGTATGACTGTAATACATTGCTGATATCTTCTCTGGGCTATGTATGAAATCGTTTTTTGCCCCAGTCCCAGTGTTGGTAAGTGCCTGTGTTGTCACCCACCCTGCATGGCTGTAACATCCATTGAATCCCAAGTAAAACTGTATGATCCATGACTGCGATCCTTGTTTCTTTGTTGTTGTTTGATCATTGTTTTACAGCTTTAAATCAATGGGTTTTTTTTGCCAATGTTTAAACCAAGTTTTACAAATTAATCCAGGATCAGTAATGATACAAAGAAGCCTAATAAATGCTTTTGCAAGAACTCGGCCACCTCTCTAAATCATAACTTTTCCTGCAAATTGTTTTGGAATTCACATTCGATCATCACACATGTACACAGCATCGCACAGAGAAATGCAGACTGCCTTCAACCTGCAAGGTAGCACATGGAAGCCAACAGCGTCAGGGCAAATTCCAGTAACCCTAGGGTCTAGTGCCTTAATCTGGGACACTTGAACAGTTCCCAGGAGGCCAACTGGAGCCTCTCCCAGTACCAGGCGACCCTCCAATTCCCAAGCCAAGTCACTGCAGAGTGCAGACTGAGTTACTATGCTGCCCAAAAGCTAAAGGAATCTATTTTTTTTTAAAGAGCATGATACCTTGAATGCAGATCAAATGTCAAGAACGTTTTAGTTATAAAAAAAAAAACAGTCCTTTGTGTCATTCTTGCAAAAATGACGAAAAGGAATATTCAAAACAAAAAAAGCAAAGTCAATGCACTTCTATTAGGACAGTATTCATGCTTTGGTAGATCTTTCAAAAATAAAGTGTAAAATAACAAAGAATACAATGTTATGTTTAAAACTATAGGCTGTATAAAATATGGACATATTCTCCGTGGTTAAAACGAACGCCAAAGGTGGCATGGCGAGAACTACATTACCCATAATGCCCCATGCTCTGTAGAAAAACGTCTACAAGGAAGCGATGCACTGCAACTTCAACACACCATAACTGACGGGGTTACAGCTGTTAAGATTTATATAGTGCCGTTTTAAAAAGGGGACATTGGGTCTACTTTGACCGAGGGAAAAGTTGAATATACATTTTTAACCTCGTTCAAGATGAGCTACTCGGTGTTTTCGTACGAGAATTTGGTCCATGCTGTATCAGGAGCAGTGGTAAATTGGCTTTACTTTCAGTATCAATTTCTGTTGTTGTGAATGTGTCTCTATCATATAAACAGTCTATGTAGCTATATTTGCTCACACGCTTTAAAATAATCTGCACCAAACTCCATTCAAAGTTGAACATGTCGCAATGTTTTAGACCTGATGGAATTTTACAGTGTTTTAACTTTTAGAATATTACAAAAACACAAACGCTTTGATATTATTGTTTTGTGCTGTACTTGCTTTTAAATAACGAGATTTTATAATGAAGTTTGACTCAAGATTCCTTCTATATTAAACAAAATGAGCTCTGTTTATTTCTCCCATGAAAACTGCCTGCCTGTTTTAGGGAAGTGTGACTGCCATGTCAGTTTTCTTCCCTCTTGATACTGCCAGACTGAGGCTGCAAGGTAACAAACAGTAGTGAAGCAGTCTTATTTAAAGGTATTACAGTTATAAATGTAATGTATATTTTAATACAAGTTGTCTTTGGTGTGTGTTCAGTGGATGACAACAGGAAGGCCAAATCAACGCCAGCCATTCTGGCAGATATTATCAGAGAGGAAGGACTGTGAGTGAAACCATTGTTATTATTTTAATTTGAATCGCTATTACATTTCTTGATTCTACGTCCTAGCTTTATGAGATAATGTATGTCATGTGAACATTCACATATCACAAGCACCGCTAATATTACCTGAAAGAAAACACATATGTCTCCTACCGTATATGAGGCTGAACACTTGTAGTTTTTGACACAGCCTTCTATTAAATGAAAGTACTATATATCTTACATGGCACTGTTTGTTTATTTTTTTTGTCTTTTTTATGTTTTTAATATGCTTTAAAATGTCTTTTTTTGTGTGTGTTTCTCTTGCACTTTATCTTAATGCTTTTAATGTTTTTTGAAGCACTTCGAATGTGCAATCTAAATAAATGTGTATAGCCTCTAAGACGTGCTCCTGTCCCCACAGACTGGCTCTGTACAGAGGCTGGTTCCCGGTGATCTGCAGCCTGTGCTGCTCCAACTTTGTCTATTTCTACTGCTTCCACAGCCTGAAGGCCAGCTGGCTGAAGGGAAGGCCGTCGGCACCAAGCAATGACCTAATGATAGGCATCGCTGCAGGTCAGAGGGTCATGTCTATCACAAGAGCCTGTTTTCAGTGTTTAGGGACAATGAAGATTTTTGTCATCATACAGATTACAAGTACCGGGACAATGAAATTCAGTTTTCATCCAACCAGAATTGCAAAAAAAGTGCAGTGTAATGTATAAGTATATGAATATGCAAAACATAAAAAAGCTTAAGAATGTACTGTACAGTAAGGACAGGGTATGAAGAACATGGACATAAACAATATAAGAAGTAGTATACACATTGAATACACAATACAGTTGGTACAAATAAATACAGTATAATACGAAACACTATAGACCGTTATTGACACTTTTATAAATTAAATTCTCAGATTTGATTTATTTCTTAATGACATGTCTTGATTTCTGTTTAATCTGCTGTTTTGTCTCTAGGTGTTGTAAACGTACTGGTCACGACTCCTCTGTGGGTTGTCAACACCAGACTGAAGCTTCAGGGATCAAAGTTTCGCAACGCAGACATACGGCCCACCAACTACTCTGGCATTCTGGGTAAATTATTATTATCAAAATCACGTTTGTTGCCAAGTCAACACATCCTCACTCCCAGGTCGGCCTATGTTGACGTTATGTCAAGTCCTGTGTCGGCTTTTTCCAACGCAAGGGGGGGGCCTTAGCGTCCATTTGCAACGCAAGAGGGGGGCCCTATAGCGTCCATTTTCAGCCTTCCGGGATGTCCATATGCTTCTATGGACGCTCATGGAAGCACGGCATTCGTTTGTGTCGGCTGCCCTTAAAGGCAATGTGAGCGTCCATTCTCATTGGATAACGGAGAATTGTACACCCGGAAGTAAGTATTCCCCTTACTGTCGATTGATTTTACAGTGATATCTGCACTACTCATCGACTAAAAAACACCAGAGTATCCTTGTTAATTACACAACATTGATTGGTTTAAATTGTGTGCAATGCTTTTGTATTTTTCCCCTTCGATTCGGAGAAACAAATATTTTTTCGGAGTAAAGGATGGCAGAAGACACTACACTACCCAGAATCCCCAGCTATCGTTTGGACTACACCATGTGCTCTGTTTGACGTCACGTGATCTTCACATTTCTCCCTGCAGAAAAAACAAACATGGCGGAACTTCGTTTTATTCTCGGTGGAAAATGCCTATTTTAAAGTTAGTTTGGCCATTCAAATGCGTTTTGATGTCATTTGATGCGAGAAATATGAGTTGTTATTTCAGATTATGTGTGCAGTGCCCACATGATCTTTAGTTTGCTAGTTATTACGAAGATTACTTCAGGACATTGCGTCCATAACGTTTTCATTGTTACCAAGGTGGTTGCTAGGGACGCTGCTATCGATATTATTTCTGTTATGTTGTGTAACTGTTTAATGGTGTTATCTTTATTGCTACCCCCTTCCCCGTCAATGTATAGTGTTGGTCCACAGAGCAAACATATTAGTTTAACAAAATCCGCATCTAAAGATACGTTATTTTCCCCTGTGCAATTGCAGTCTCACATTTCACAGCACATCGTCATTAACAAATACCGGAAACAGACCGAAAACATTTAATAAAATAAAATAATACTTTATTCCGAGTGTGCTTGCTTTTCTCTTTGAAAGTCATCACATACCGGCATTGTAATACACGATTCGGCTGCATTAAATATTACATATCTGCCGTAATTCTGTATTTATAGAGCCCTGATGAGAAGACTTCTAGACAAACATGAGGAACTGAAAACGTGAGGTTGATCATAAATATATCAGCCATTAAATCTTACATTTCTTTTCACACAATACGTCTCCTTGCAGTATCAACACTAATTCGGCTGACTTTTATATTTGATCCAATTGGTAGATAGGCTGTATTTACACCATAAAGGTGCACAGCTGATATAAAGGGACACCTAGTGGTTAAAGCATGTTATTGAATTTCATTATTTTTATTATTAGATATTAATAGGATCCCTATAAAGTATATTAATTACTCGTTATTCTCTACTAATAGTTCATTAAAGACTGTATATAATGACTATTTTGCACATCCCTTTCAAGATTTTCTAAGGTTTATTGACATATCATATAGGCCTACACAACTATGGTGTAGTTATGCATTGAATGAAAAACTTGGGTCGCAGGTTCCTCAATAGTGCATTACAAGACATCTATCAATATTTGTGCGTACCTCCAGCAATGTTAACTATGTTGAAGCACTTATTTTAACTGATATTATACATAATGTATTATACTCTTATAAGATGTATGTAGATATTTCATCTCCGACCTTGTCAGGTATTGAACAATCAATAAATAAAGAACACAGAATTGTTGAATATAAAACACAGAATTTGTGTGATTATACTAAATGATTTACAAATAAACACCACTGCATATTTAACTGTTACACATGCTGATGTAACGCAAATGTTCCAACTTGAGATCAATAAAGTATATCTTATCTTAAGCTGATCGATGGCTATACTGCCATATTTGCAAAATGTGCCTCTGAACCTTAACAAGTGCATGTTTCAGGCTTATCAATTAATGTAATGTAATGTAATGTTATCAATTAACAACAGGGGTCACAAACATAAGACCAGCTGTTAAATAAAGCTCTTCTGACCTTAGCTGGCATGTGTGTATATATATTAATGCTGCCCATTATGGGCACAAGCAATTTTCACCCATTTATTAATTATATGTTTTAAATGTGAGTGTTTCCTATCCCCTAAACCTCCAGGGATGTACACAGTTTAATACTGGCAACTTCTTATTGTGGGGGAGGGGGGACGCGGTGGACCCGTTCAAATCCAGTTTTGGACAGTCTGCGTGGTTCCATCCCATTTCAAGTGCTGTTCGAGGCTCGGCGTAACCCTCGGAGCACACTCTCCAATCACAGAGCTTGAGGACTATCACGGGGTTTGTCAAACAGAGCACATGGTGTAGTCCAAACGATAGCTGGGGATTCTGGGTAGTGTAGTGTCTTCTGCCATCCTTTACTCCGAAAAAACATTTGTTTCTCCGAATCGAAGGGGAAAAATACAAAAGCATTGCACACAATTTAAACCAATCAATGTTGTGTAATTAACAAGGATAATCTGGTGTTTTTTAGTCGATAAGTAGTGCAGATATCACTGTAAAATCAATCGACAGTAAGGGGAATACTTACTTCCGGGTGTACAATTCTCCGTTATCCAATGAGAATGGACGCTCACATTGCCTTTAAGGGCAGTCGACACAAACGAACGCCGTGCTTCCATGAGCGTCCATAGAAGCATATGGACATCCCGGAAAGCTGAAAATGGACGCTAAGGGCCCCCCCCTTGCGTTGAAAATGGACGCTAAGGCCCCCCCCCCCCTTGCGTTGGAAAAAGCCGACAGGGGACTTGACATAACGTCAACATAGGCCGACCTGGGAGTGAGGATGTGTTGGCCAAGTAGGTCTACAAATACAAGGAATTTGCTTTGGTGCATACATGAACACAGTTGGGGGAATTCATTTGTAAAAAAAAAAGGAGCAAATATAGAACTATTATCAAAACGAATAACAAATAATAAAAAGGTAAAATAATAAAATCACAATTTACTGTGAAAAATTGAATGTGTAGTATATTGGGATTTAAAGTATAAAAGCTGTGCACTTTTAAAAGTCTTAGAGTTTTTCTCAGCTTATATCCCTACAGTATGTGACATTTACTGCCAAACATGGGTGCAATCAGGGTTATGACTTCTCTCTCTCAATTTGTTTGTTTTGTTGCAATCATAGTTGATCTGCTCTGTTGTGTTTCGAAGATGCGTTTGCACAGATCATCCGAGATGAGGGAGGGGGAGCGCTGTGGAACGGGACCTTCCCCTCGCTGCTGCTGGTGATGAACCCCGCCATCCAGTTCATGATCTACGAGGGTCTGAAGAGGCAGCTGAGGAGAGGGGTTCCCAGGGAGGTGAGTCAGGGAAAACAGAGGGATTAGGGAGATTCAAATGTTTTAAGGACAGGGGAGATCAGTGCTGGAGTCATAGCAGCATTTTAGAAGAAAGGAATAATGGATAGGAAAGTGTAGATGAAGTGAGAAGATGTGTATGGAGCAACGTTTGTTTTTATTATTATATTATCACAACATTTCTACAAGAAATTTTCACAATTTTAATGATCAATGACAAATAAATTGCATTGTCATTTCATATTCATTTTCAAGTGTATCGTAAAATATCATGCCAATATCGATGATTGTGAGAAAATATATATTTAGCTTTACCCTTTTAATATTCATACAGTTGGCAGTGATGTGTTATACTTGGTTATTTAGTAGTTGTGAGTATTTAAATGTACCTGGTAAGAAAATAAACTTTAACAATTGAATGTCGGTAGAAGTATATACAACATGAGAGCACATTTTGAACTTCACAAACATATCCACCAAGCCCAAAATATGATAAACAAGAGTTCTATTGATCAAAACACTGCGCTGAATATCATAATATTATATTAATAGTACACTATTACTACTGGTAAACATTATGGTTAAAAAATAAGGATGGTCTTGTTAACGAATGGGAAAGTAAAGGTTACTTCAGGTCATCCCATCATCCGGATGAGTAGACACTTGATATGCAGTAATTCTGTTCACATGATCTTTGTGTGGCTTAAGCAGACAAAGACAGATGAACAAGTATATAAATACTATAATATTAAAGTACTCCATTACAAGTAAAAGTCCTCAAATGTTTTGTCCACACCTGACTTGTTTCTTTCCCCCCCCCTTAAGCTGTCATCTGTTGAGGTCTTCCTCATCGGAGCTGTTGCTAAAGCAGCTGCCACCATTGTGACCTACCCACTGCAGACCATACAGTCCATTCTCAGGGTGAGCTGTGTTTATTCAAAATGTCTATACCTGTTGCTCTTTTCTACACAAAAAACTTTTCAGCCTTATATATTGTTCTTCCTCAGAATACTCTCTAAGATGCTATGATCACAATCACTCAGTTTTACACATTGTAACTCTTGATTTTCCTTCTTCTAAATCACTACAGTTTGGTCAGTTCAACGAGTCAACAGGCGAGTCAAAACTACTGTCAAGTATACGGACTATCAAGTGTCTGTTGATCAACAGAGTGAGGTGGGCACACACACACACACACACACACAAAATCTTACATTACTGATAAGATTTTTGAATCATGCCACTCTTTTGGCTTAATTTTTAACATAATGTACATTACTGTATATTTTAAATACTGGGTATATTAGCATTAACTTACTGCATTACAACATACAATGTGTGTTTATAAGTACAAAGAAGTTAGTAACTATTAGTACAGTTTTGCCTCAAATGTAGAGGAGTAGAATTATGTGTAGGATATATATAACAGAAAAACTCAAATAACAGGTTTGTCAAAATAGTACAGAAGTACTTTAACTGTAGTAAATGTACTTTGTTACATTGCACTACTAAGTCACAGAGTCCATATGGGTAAACACCACACGAACACATGGTCACGTGATCACTGAAACATTGTCTAATTAACCATTGTATTTATAATTACATCCATAATGATGCATCTTTCGTTGATGTTTGTGCATGCAGAAAGATATACATCTCAAGTTTTTCACATTGTATCCCTGGTTTCCTTCTATAGGAAGTTTGGCATGCTGGGTCTGTTTAAAGGCCTGGAGGCCAAGCTGCTGCAGACGGTGCTGACGGCTGCCCTCATGTTCCTTCTCTATGAGAAGATCGCCAGCGCCACCTTCAAAATGATGGGACTGAGCAGAAACCACTACAAGAAACACTAGATAACTATATGGACTTTAACTTTATGAAAGCACCGACAGTCTGTCACTGCTCCCAGACTCTGTGGGGGGGAGTTCCTCTCTGATCTGACATTTTTGAATGACATGAAGAAGTTAAGAGATTAAAAATAACTTGAGATTTTAAAGATGCACCAGTTCACCTCCTGTCTTTTTGTCAAATTCGGTTGACCTAGAAAATATGAACTTAATCGAAGCATACAGAATTGAAAAGAGGGGAAACAGAACCATTACTTGATTCAAGGTATGTGAATTAAGTATTTGTTGTTGCAGACAAGATGTTAAATTGAATAAGTTTCGCAGATCATGCAGGTAACTCAAAATAAGTTAACATTAACAGTCATTTCACACCGGACACAAATAGAAAGTCCTGTTTGTCTGGCGTTGAATTAGAAACAAGGAAGTCAGACAAACAGGTTTTTTGGATCGTTATTACGTTGTCCCATTACATGTAATCAGTTTCTCGCTTAGCCTGTTTTTGTGCATGGAGGACAAGTGTTTCAAAAGAGACATCTTACAGGTTGTTTGAATTGCCTTTATAAAAAATACAGGATACTCAATATGACACTAATATTTGAGGATGTAGTACTTGATCATTTATGCAATATATGATATGTTTATATCATATTTCCCTTTGTGTATTAGGTGCAGATGTTGAATGATCAGGAACACAAATATAAATGTTAATATATAACTAAAAGTCCTTGTAAGACAGCTCCATTTGACAGACAGGTAAAGAAAAGATAGAAGAGCCTCTCTTTATCCACTCCAGTCAATTTTGATGTCAAAGCCTCACTCCCAGTTCAAGTAGACATTTTTATCATCGTCAGAGAACGAGGACTTGGAGAGACAGCCAGCGCATTTCGTGGCATCTGCTGGCAGTGGCAAGTCCTTCCGGCATATGCCACAACTTGCCGAGGCATCTGCCGCTGCTCAACGGGAGTTGCCACAAGATGCCAGAGTAAGAGAAGGTTTACGGTAGCTGCCACTCGCCTTCCGTGGGAAATGCTGCTACCCGTATTTATCGTGTAAAATGTCGCTGTTTTGGCATGACTTTATCGAACTGATCTGTACACAGGACTGATGATCCGATCTCTATTTTTTAAAACATTATAATTTCTATTCAATTTTACTTGGAGCATGGTTTGCTAAAATAAACAAATGTGCTATATTTATGATGAAATATTGGCGAGTGAGGGTTGCAACGCCCTTGGCAATTTTCGCTTCTTGAGGGGAGTTTCCACTGCTTGCTACGATAAACCAGGTGTATGACTAGTAAAGACAAATAATTAACAAATACATATCTGTATTGACACAGCAGAGTGTACACTGGTGTTATTAGACTTGGCTACAGACTTAGGGCAGCTGTAACTGATTGCAGTTGCCACTGCTAGTGAGATGCTAAGGTTTACTTTATAAATTAGGCAAAGGACTTATCTTTGCCCCATGCCTTCAGCAGCAGCAGGCCATTCACTTTGATTTGATCCAGTTATGAAATGTCATCATTTCAACAATAAAGAAATGCTACATAAACGTTATCTTGCACGTTTTATCGAACCATCTCCGTTTCTAACTTTTAATATATTTAAAAAGAGATCTCTCTCTCATCTGCGTGCGGGGGCGGGGCCTCACAGACATGCTGCTGCGCTGTGCACACAGTTCTGCCGGTAATGAATATTAGGATACATTTTGTGAGGAAACTTTTCCACCAATAATTCCAATAAGTATTCCAAAATGTATTCACTTCAGGTTTACCAAAGTAACTGTATTTGGATTAGTTGTTTTTCAAATGTAACGCGAGCTGAATACAGTTAGGCTACTTGGTTTTTGTATTCTGATTACGTAACGCCGTTACATGTATTCAGTTACAACCCAACCCTGTGCACAGATCATCAGTCCTGTGTACAGATCAGTTCGATAAAGTCATGTCAAAACAGCGACATTTTACACGATAAATACGGGTTTAAATAGCAGCATTTGCCACGGAAGGCGAGTGGCAGCTACCGTAAACCTTCTCTTACTCTGGCATCTTTTGGCAACTCCCGTTGAGCAGCGGCAGATGCCTCGGCAAGTTGTGGCATATGCCGGAAGGACTTGCCACAGCTACCACAGAGTAGCGGCCTCTGTGGCATATGCCGGAAGGACTTGCCACTGCCTGCAGATGCCACGAAATGAGCCAGGCCCTACTGTAAAACGTTGTACCAACAAAAAAATATTAGAGTAATCAATCACACGAAATATTTTACATTGACTCAATTTCTTCAGATCAATCTGTATATTTTAACACCAGAGCACATTTATTTGAATGAAAACCAAGTTGTTCACACAACCAGCTTTGGCCTCTGAGGCAGCCATTACCTGATCTTAGACATGTTCATAAGTACCTAGGGCTGGGCGAATTTTCGGTTTTAACGATTAATTTGCATTTTGACTTTCCTACGGTTTGTGAAATGGCTGAACCGAAAAATCGCGATTTAAAAACATTTCTAGACTCCGCAGATTTGTTTTGCTTTAAGGGACTCCGTAGTAGTTTACTCTCTCACTTTCCAGAACGCGCACAAAACTCAACCACATTGCCTGTGACTACCCGATCTGCAGCTCTGTGTACACATATATCACTTAAATTATTCAATACATCCTTTGTACTGAAGTATTCAAGAGTAAATAAAGTTTAATATAAATGATTTGCTGTGGCCAATTGTTTTCATTGCATTTACAGACCCGTGTAAATCTCTGATACCACCCAATGAATGCATTGACTTGCTTGTAGAACCACGCTACACAAAACAGATAGCAACACCTATACAAACTATAATAAAAAAAAAGGGGGGGCTACTTTATCGACATATATAAAGTATATAAATATTTTATTTTTTTCAAAATACCAAAAATATCTTGCATTTAGCCATGCCTCATTTCGCTCCATTTGCTTTTTCCAGCGCTGTTTTTGCAGGGGGCTGATTCTGTGAGCTGCAGCTGACCACGCCCCCCTGCAGGAGAGGGGAGCGTGCTCTGAGATCAGCTGCTGGGCGGTCTGTAGAGGGGGAGGAAAAGAGATCTCCGTCCTCCGTGTTTTATTCTTATAGAAGTAAGAAGAGAAGTATTGGGGCAGAAACCCTCCTTTTTACGCAGCGGTCCAGACATAGACATCAAACGGCGACACATATTCAGTTGGCAGTTACTTTGGCATTAGGGCAGGGATATCTAGATACTTCCCAAGGTCTGACATCATGAAGTGTGCTACTTTTAAAGCAAGCAACGATGTTTTCAAATCTGTAATCAAAAAGCTCCTCAAAAACACTATCGAAGCAGTTCCTGCCGTTGCTACGTTAGTTCAAACAGTAACAACGGACTACTTTTCTTAGCGGATGCATGTCAATTTAAATCAATACATAAAACTATTTTTTAAATCAATAAAATCATTTTCTAAATCCATAAAAGCATTTCAATTAATATTGGGAGTCATGTCGTTACTTTGTTGAGAATGTGGCCATGTGTAATAAGCGGGATAATGTGCACATTGCATAATGTGCCTTCATGCCGATCTAGATCCCTCCGCAAAAAAAAAAAAAAAAAAACGGCTCGTTCGCGGGCGAGAGCCGGCTCCCGTCGTTCACTTAAAAGAGCCTTGGTCTGGTTTGTTTAGAAAAAAACAGAAAAAAATCGAGGTTTAAATAGAAAATTGTCCATTAGTTCGAAAAAAAAAAAAATCGCGATTTTATTTTTAGGCCAAATCGCCCAGCCCTATAAGTACCACAGTTAAAATGCAGTAATATGTGGGCCGCTTCCAAACATCAAACTCTTAGAAAAAAGATATTATCCACTGCACACTTTTTTAAAGCAACACTGACAACTTGCGCCTGTGAGACATGTAATCTCTGAAAATGATTAGACATGCATAACTTCTACAGTGAAAATCGGTCATACTGTACTCTATATATATATATATTAGGGCTGTCAAACGATTACATCACAGCTTAAAAATTAATTAATCACGATTAATCACCATTCGAACTATGTCCAAAATATGCCATTTCTTTATGTATATTGTTGTGGGAATGGAAAGATAAATGAAAGAAGGCGGATATATCCATTTAACATACAGTATGTATGTTTATTATAACATTGTTCTGTGTGTCAAAATGAAAGACAGCCCACTAAAATTCGTTACTCAAAGCCTATACTTTATTTTAGGACAGTGGTCAACATTTTGGTGATGTAAAAATATATAACACGATGTTGTAAACTAAAGTTACATTTACAATATCTTTATCAATTTAACTTGAACATTTAAATATAAGTCGCTCGTCAATATGAAAGAAACACACTTACTCTGTCCTTAAATTGACGTTTAACACCAGAATTTCTACTCTGGTAATAAATACAAATTCATAGTCTTATCAATTTATTTACAATAGAAAACACGCAGCCCGCCTGTTCATACTGTTTACAGGCCACCAAGCCTCAGTTAAGAAAAGGTAAAGTTAATATACTTAATGTTTGTCTGAGTATATTTACCTTTGAATCTGGCCATGACTCATGCTGGTAGACCGCTAACGCTAGCATGCTTTATTCAGACATTGACTTTAGCCTGTAGTCGAATTGGAGTCATGGGTGGGTAGTGTTTTTACAGTCCACTAGCTCAGTTAAGAACATTTAACGTTACAGTTAATGTTGTGTTGAGAAATATATGCTCTGCTGAGTGTTCAATCACTGGATAATGCGTGGTCTGAATAAAGCATGCTAAACGTTAGCGCATGCTAAACATTAGCACAAGCTAAACGTTAGCGCATGCTAAACATTAGCGCAAGCTTTTACGGCCTACTCAGTCAGAGTCACGGCCAGACACACGGCTAACGCTAACGTTTCCCATAAATAACATTACATTTTCTTAAATGAGCTACCGGACTGTAGTAACGTTAGCCACCCATAAATCCAAGCGGGCTAAAGGCTAATGTCTGAATAAAGCATGCTAGCGTTAGCTTATAAGGGCTATCAACAGCCGGTAAGACCCACAGCCAGAGTCAACGGAAGATATACTCAGACAAGCGTTAACGTTTCGGTATGTGAAATTATATTAATATATATATATATATATATATATATATATATATATATATATATATATTAACATTAG